GACTGAAAGACAGCACAGAGGCACTAATCATGGCAGCACAAGAACAAGCTCTGAGCACAAGATCCATAGAGGCTGGGGTCTATCACACCAGGCAAGACCCCAGGTGCAGGCTGTGTAAAGATGCCCCAGAGACAATCCAGCACATAACAGCAGGGTGCAAGATGCTAGCAGGCAAGGCATACATGGAACGCCATAACCAAGTGGCCGGCATAGTGTACAGGAACATCTGTGCCGAGTATAACCTAGAAGTCCCGAGGTCAAAATGGGAGATGCCCCCAAGGGTGGTGGAGAATGACCGAGCTAAGATCCTGTGGGACTTCCAGATACAGACGGACAAAATGGTGGTGGCTAACCAACCGGACATAGTGGTGGTAGACAAACAGAAGAAGACGGCCGTAGTGATCGATGTAGCGGTTCCCAATGACAGCAATATCAGGAAGAAGGAACACGAGAAGCTGGAGAAATACCAAGGGCTCAGAGAAGAGCTCGAGAGGATGTGGAGGGTGAAGGTAACGGTGGTCCCCGTGGTAATCGGAGCACTAGGTGCGGTGACTCCCAAGCTAGGCGAGTGGCTCCAGCAGATCCCGGGAATAACATCGGAGATCTCTGTCCAGAAGAGCGCAGTCCTGGGAACAGCTAAGATACTGCGCAGGACCCTCAAGCTCCCAGGCCTCTGGTAGAGGACCCGAGCTTGAAGGATAAAACCGCCCGCAGGGGCGTGCTGGGTGTTTTTTATATATATATATATATATATATATAAGACAAAAGTGCTTCTTATCCAGTTACTCAATTAATATATGGGATAATCAATAAATTATTTGATTACTTAAATAATTAATAGCTGCAGCCCTAGTTCACTTACTCCCCATGCAGCTTCTGTTTCTACCTGCTCATGTTTCTACAGTAGAATCACTGTGGCGATCACTTTGAAGTGTCTTTGTGCTGGTTGTCATCTTTGCTTTTTGTTGTCAGTTTTGTGTTCATACCGAAGCACTAAGAGAAAGATCATGTATGTTTCCTCATTAGGATAAGGATTTTTGTTAGTTTGTAGGACTGTAGCCTTGGTTTCTATCTCGCCTCTGTCAGTGCGCCCCAGGGTGGCTGTGGCTACAATGTAGCTGCCATCACCAGTGTGTGAATGTGTGTGTGAATGGGTGGATGACTGGATGTGTAAAGCGCTTTGGGGTCCTTAGGGACTGGTAAAGCGCTATATAAATACAGGCCATTTACCATTTACCACTGGTCTAGTTAATGGCAACAGAAATATGTGGCGGAAAAACACTTTGAGGCACAAACTGTATATGAAAGATGGTCATTGCCACACTGTATACATTGTTCCTTTTAAAGAAAACAAACAAAAAGCACTGATTGTCAAAACACAAGGTTGAAATGACTGAAACTGCAGAATGCTGCATGCTCAGTTCATAATGATTTCTCTGTCACAAGTTGTTAGTAAATGAGCAAACCCTACTTTATGCTACTCTCCGAGTCTGAAACAGACCCGAATTAACTTCACGGTGTATTCAGTAAAACTTGAAATTAGTGACTGAGCTCACAAAGTCAACAGGAAAGTGTTTACTAAGGTTAACAGCAAAGGCGCCGAGGGCTGTTTTTATATAGACCTCTATACTACCTGAGGTCTTGCAGACACTCTCTGGCTTTTAGAATGTCCATCTTCTAAGAGAGGTCATGGTCAGAATATAGCCTAACTATCAGATATTACCAGAGGGTCTTTGGAGTCTATGCTGGTGGTGAAGCGCTGCAGACAGAGCTTGTGCAGAGGCTCAATAGTACAGACATCCGGACCAGCAGATAGCAGGAAAAGTGCTATACAAATACAGGCCATTTACCATCTATTGTTAAATGGTAGTTATGAGACAATGCTTTTCAGCTGTTTTACAGGAAAATGAAAGTAATGTAATGAGTAATATAATGAACTACTTTCTCCTTTGAGTAACATAATGCATTATTTTTTAAGAAAAGTAATATGTGGGGACCAGTGTTGGGAAGGTTACTTTTAAAATGTATTCCATTACAGAATACATGCCCTAAAATGTATTCTGTAACGTATTCCGTTACGTTACTCAATGAGAGTAACGTATTCTGAATACTTTGGATTACTTAACATATTATCATGCATTTTACAACTACATGAATGTACTATTGCTGTGTGATTTATTACTGTTACTGAAGGTCTGCGGCTCCGAACCCGTAGTAAAGGGACCTCTGACTAATACGGTTCCGTGTCGGGCTCGTAGCTGAAAAATAGCTTTACTTTGTTGTGTGGGTCAACTCTGCTTGCGAGAGACAGAGAGAGGCGTTGAAAGGCTGCTCCAACAGAACTTATTGTTTTCGGAGGAAAACACGAACACGGTGTACAGTCGAGTCTTAACAGCTTACTTACAACTGGGCTCGTCAGGCTCTCTTCTTGGCTGCAGTGGTTATTATTATATTTACATGCTTCCAGCTCCCGTTTTTGCTTGATGACAACTCGTACCTTTCCACTCCCCTTTTTCTCCCTCCTCGCTCACAGACACATAACGGGTATGGCAGTCCATTCTCCCTGCAGCACGGACTACACTGCCCATGATGCTACATTCTTTAGAGCTGTAGCATTCTGCCTATTAGCTTAGCACAACAACAACAACAAAAAGGCGCTCTCTCACCCAGGAAACACGCAGAGCGAGAGCGTCACCCTGTAACCATGGCAACCGTAACACTGCCGCCTGGAACTACAGAACGTAGCTGTCAAACAAAACCCAAACAGTCCTGACCCGTGACAATATGAAACAGGAAAGTACCGCAGTGTAATCCATTTATTTCAACAAAGTAACTGTATTCTAAACACCACCTTTTTAAACGGTAACTGTAACGGAATACAGTTACTCATATTTTGTATTTTAAATACGTAACGGTGGTACATGTATTCCGTTACTCCCCAACACTGGTGGGGACAGATGTCTAAAGAGGTATGATTTGAGCTGGGAGACATGGAAAACCTTGTGTACGTGCATATTGCAGGGTAACTTCGGGTGAGCAGAGACAGGATTAATCATTGCCTCGATTTCAAAGGGGGGCTAGTATCTTGATTTAGTGGCAGCTGTGCAGACGGGACTGTGTGCTGACCTTCTATTACTGGAAAGAGTGGTGGGTAGTAGCCCAGGGAGACCTCGAAGGGGAACAGGATGGGGGGCAAGGTAGTCGGGCAATTGTGGGCATATTCCATCATCTATTGTGAGGATTACCGTGTTTCAACCTGAGGGAGGCAGACCAGTCACAAAGTTAAGGAAAGGTGTGAGACCAGGGACACCCTGGAGTGGCAAGGGGTTTGAGCAGGCCTACAGGAGGGGAACTAGCAGACTTATTCTTCACACAGGTTAAATAGACTGAAACATACTCTCTAGCATCCCTAATTAGTGTGGGTCACCAAAAGAGATTGGAGGAGAGGTTGCAGGAAAGTGAGAATCCTCCTCCAATCATACGTGAGGGGGAAGAGACAGAGCCAGATGATTCCTGGACACCTCTGCCAGATCAGGAGAGGCAGTGATGGAGTTAGAGTGCTAATGGAATGGACAGAGTAACAGATTTTAGATGGTTCATGTGGAAGTCATTACTTCAACAGGAGATGCAATCCTTTCTCCAATCGATACAGGGGATGTGTAGTTGTAGCTAAGGATGGCCCAAAACTATGGCGTTATTTTTGTGCCTCTATTCTGAGCGCACGTAAATAATTTTTGCAAGTAAAAATATTGCATTTTAAGGAGAATATTTTGTGTGAAGAAAATTCATTGCTGCGTGCAAGAAATGTGTTTCAGTGTTTGCTACTATCCATATACATGCACAATTACAGCCCTCTCCCTCAGTTGTTGGCATTTGCTCTTGCTCAGATCTCTGCTCTGTGTGCTGACAGACATCTGTGGACCTGCTCTCAGAGTGTCGCTCCAGCTCTCAACATCTCTGCTCCCTGCACGCACAATTCTTTCTGTACTCCGTTATAAATGTGCCACAAAACCAACCACTCACAGACTTGGATGCAAAAATTCTGATTGGTTGTTGTGGTCTCCAATTGGCTCGCTATTGACTGCATTCCGGAAACACTGTCCAAAGTTTAGCTAAAACCATTTTCGGTTAGCATGTTATTTTATTTTATTGTAAAATATATCACTTTTTTAAGACCATCGTTGGTTTTAATATATTTAAAACCAAACCACTCCACTGGATTTATCTACATTTCGCTCAAATTAAGCTTTTTTTCACTCAAAATAATTTTCTCCTCAAAATGCAACATTTGTTCTTGCAAAAATTATTTACGTGCGCTCAGAATAGAGGCACAAAAATAATGCCATACAAACGCTCTGTGTGATTACTAGAAAGGGACAGGGTTTGGGTTTGGTTCTAAGAGTGACATCGAGCAAGTGTTGACCATTTCAAACTGTGACCTGGATGGCACGAGGCTGAGTTTGGAAATATTTCATTTTTGTGCCAGGGAGTTATCAATGAAACACTGCTCTACACCCAAATCAATAAGCGCTTGGACAGAGTGGGTCTTCCCATGAATCATGAGGTGCAGAGGACTGAGAGAGCCAGAGATTTTGCCCACCAGTACTTGTTCCTTTACAGGTGGGCGTAACCTTTTGGCCAAATAGGACAGGCGTAGATGTAATGACTCCTCTTGTTTAAAATGTGTAATAATTACTTTTTTGAATAATGACCCCAACACTGATCACAACAAAAAAGGCAAATGCCTTCAACATGCCCAAACATTTGACCACACAACATGCAATTAATTTGAACAGATGCAAGGTCTATGTTGTTTAGCAATGGTGGTGATGCTCAAAGCTGAGCCATGGAGAATCCGTAAGGAAATGAATCAATAAGTGATATTGACAATGCAATCAGTTGTTATCAATCATTATTAATGTCCATCCCTACTGATGTGTGTGTTTTTAGGCTATATAGTCTACTACAGTATTTGGTCATGATGGAATTTTGTTTGGCAGGTCCTGCAATCCCTGTTGGAGTGGATGTTCAGGTGGAGAGCTTGGACAGCATCTCTGAAGTTGATATGGTAAGCTGGCTACACACCACAAAGAGCAAAGAGGCAGCCCTGTTACCAAGGTGGTGAACTGAGGTTGGGTGAAAGAAAACATGTGAAACAACTTATGAAAAGAGAGAAACAACCATGTTATCCCTTATGTAAAAGATCTATCCATGAAAATCAGGAGAATGTTCTCCAAGCACGACATCCCAGTACACTTCAGACCTAGCCACACCATCAGACAAAAACTGGTTCATCCCAAGGAGAAAACTTGAACATAAGCTAAAACCAAACATAAACATAACATATATGGTTTGAAAGAAAACATTAAATATGAAAACAGAAATGAAACATAGTCTACATACAAATTTAATATGAGGTCAGCAAGTACAATGTAGGTGTATTGTGTTAGGATCAGAAATTAATACTTTTAAAACAATAAAATTGCTGTAAAATTGATTTCTGCCAACATAAAAAACAATAGAAAATCAAGATAGATATGGGTTGCAGAGGGGTGTATCATTGAACAACCATTAGAATATAGAGTTTTCCGAGATCTACTTTAAAACCAGTGTTGGTTACTCCCTTACACTTTAAACTTTTGCTTTGGTATGATAAATACCTTGTGGGTTCATGTATAAGAGGATATTAAAGAAATTGAGTCAATCACTTTGTTACTGTTTGTTAGTGTTGTTGTTTCTCTATTAGTATGCCTGAGATATACATCTTACCATAAAACTTGGAAATATATTTTTTCTTTTTTTCCTTTGGTGCCAATGATATTTTTAACACAAAAGCAACAGAGGGATTGGAATGCCTGTAGCTTTCTCAATTTGATTATTTAATGAGAAAATTGGCATGGCTTGATGAGTGCAATTGGTACATTAGAATTTGGTAAATGTTTGTGTTTCGTTCACTCAGTCACTACATAATCTCCACATTTACAGTCTTTTAATTACACTCTTTAACTCCACCAGGACTTCACCATGACCTTGTATCTGAGACATTACTGGAAGGATGACCGTCTGTCCTTCACCAGCAGCACCAACAAGAGTATGACGTTTGATGGCCGTTTGGTGAAGAAGATTTGGGTCCCTGATGTCTTCTTTGTCCACTCTAAGAGATCCTTTATCCACGATACAACTACTGACAATATCATGCTCCGGGTCTTTCCTGATGGACATGTGCTTTACAGCCTGAGGTCTGTAGAATCTCTGCATCTGATTTATTGACAGATCAATATTTGAATCAGCCTCCAATTGTATTTTTTAATTGAATTATTCAAATTATTCCTCTCCAAGTTTCTTGAAAAGCGATCTGGAAGCTTTTGCAATTTTCCTTTCAAACATCAATAGATCTCATTGGTGGAGTAATTATGCCTCAGGTTAATTAAAATTAGGGCTGAACGATTATGGAAAATAATCTAATTGCGATTTTTTGCCCCAATATTGCGATTGCGATGCGATATGCGATTATTTTTTAAGGTCTTTGTCTTCTGTATTATTAAACAAAGACAAGCAATACATCATATAGTATGGCCAATACTATATTACATTAATTTTAAACTGTTCTTTCCTGGAAGACAGACCTCTGTTATGATGACATGAGGTGATGCATGAATTGATGACTGACATTTTTATTTAACTTCTTCAATCACAACAGTATATTTGAACATACACAATAGTTTATTTTTAGCTTACAAACATCTGAGCATAAAGTGCTGACAAGGAACCCTGGTGTAAACATTAAAATGAAAGTCAGTACAATGTGCAGATTGCAGAAATATACATAAAAAAAATCAGTGGCTTTACCACACTCAGTTTTTCGACATCTGTGAACTACTAGACAGTCATTCAATTAAAAAATAATATTAAATAAATAAAACTAATAAATAAAAAATACACACATCTTACTGATCTCTGCAGTCAGTAACATTACACATAAAGTGCAAACATAATAGCAATTGTATAAACACACACACAAACACGCCTTTAAAGTTTAAAGGCGTGAAATTGGACGGTCTAGTTCTGATCAGCGTCACCGCTGTCTCGGTGGAGTTTAATAAACTCGGCCGTCTGCTTCTTGCTATCTAAAATATAACCAGACACTGGTGTAAATTCTCGACTGTCTCATACTTCTGTTTAATAAGTTTTCTGTTTGACGTTTAGTCAGCTGTGTGAAAACCAAGGAGGAACCCACCCGGGGGATTAATAAAGTTTTATTTTATCTAATCTAATAACTTTAATCTCAGCCAAACCGATTTACTCACGAACAAACAAAACACTGAAAAAAGCCCAACAATAACATTTTTAGGTTGTCTAAGTGACTACGTTTAACCCGAGCAGCGAAACTCCGCGGTGATCTGAAAATGATGTGCCGGGAGTTGTGCCGTTCTCGGCCGCATCAGTAACCCTCGAGCTCCCGGCTAGCTGTCGAGCTGGTGGGTAGCAGACGCCTCTGAAAACGTCGAAGCACTTTTGCAAATATGGGATATCTTGATAAACCGAGCAGATATTTGATGTTTACACAACTACTTTCTCGCCTGAAAATATGTTAAAAGTTTATTTTGTGACCCAGAAAGATTAGTATGAGTAATTTTAAAACTTAGTAGCGGCCGCCATTGCTGGAAACTGGAGTTTGGCTGGGCCGCGCTATGAATTCTGGGATATGGTAGTAATTTGGACAGCCTTCGGCGCGTCGCTGTGACGTAATCGGTCTACAAATGCGGCCTCAGGAGGATGCAGCCCATGAATTTGGACATGTCCAGAGTATAATCGCAGCCTTTGCGGTTAGAAAATTGCACTTGATCATGTCGCGATATTATCGCAAATGCGATATATCGTTCAGCCCTAATTAAAATCTTAGGTGGGCATTTAAACAGGGAACATGTCCTGGATGGCCGGCCAGGTTTCACCATAATTTCACAAAAATTGCATAAAAATTATATAATTTGCTTTTTAGTCAGTTTTTAATCATGGTCACTTTGCTTTCAACTCATAATGTACCTCCAAAAGCTACTTCATCAGACAGAAGTTATAAAGTAAACCAGGATTTCTAAGCATGAGATTTTCAGACCATATCTGATTCCACACTACTCACTTTTAAGGTTTCGAGGATTCAGCGGATTTCCTTTAAATCCATCCATCCATCTTCTTCCGCTTATCTGGGGCTTGGGTCGCAGAGGCAGCAGCCTAAGGAGTGGAGTCTAGACCTCCTTCTCCCCTGCCACCTCCTCTAGCTTTTCTGGGGAAACAGTAAGGTGCTCCCATGTCAGCTGAGAGACATAATCTCTCCAGTGTGTCCTGGATCTGCCCCGGGACCTCCTCCAGGTAGGACATGCTGAAACACCTCACCCAGGAGGCACCCAGGAGGCATCCTGGTCAGATGCCCGAACCACCTCAACTGGCTCCTTTTAATGTAGAGGTGCAGCAGCTCTATTCTGAGCCCCTCCTAGATGGCCAAACCTCTTAACCTATCTCTAAGGGAGAGCCACCCTTCAGAGAAACTGCTCTGAAACTGCAATGCTTGTATTCACAATTCCATTCTTTCAGTCACTACCCAAAGCTTGTGAGGGTAGGTAGGTAGACCAACCACTAAATTAAAAGCTTCACTTTTACACTTCACCATGACAAACCACTCCAGTGCCAGTTGGAGGCCATCACCTGATGAAGCCAACAGAACCACATCATCTGCAAAAAGCAGAGATGAGATTCTGAGACCACCCAAGTGGAAGCTTTCCGTCACTTGGCTATGCCTAGAAATTCTGTCCATAAAAATTCTGTCCAACACCCACTGGAAATGAGTGGGTGCGGGGCCAGCTATCTGGATCAAGGTCTTGGGCTAGAAACCCCATACTCCTGAAGCATCCCCAAAGGACACACAGAGGAACATGGTCAAATGCCTTCTCCAAGTTTACAAAACACATATGGACTGTTTGGGCAAACTCTCATGCCCCCTCGATTATCCTCGAGAGGGCAAAGAGCTCGTCCAGTATTCCACGCCCGTGGCAAAACCTGGATTGTTCCTCCTGTATCCGAGTTTCGACTAACGGACGGACTCTCCTTTCCAGCACCCTGACATAGACTTTACGGGGGAGGTTGAGGAGTGTGATCCCCCTATAGTGGAGCACACCATCCGGTCCCCTTTCTTGAAGATGGGAACCATCAGACTGCCAATCCAGAGGTACCGACCCTAATCTCCACGCAACATTGTAGAGGCGTGCCAACCAAGACAGCCCTACAACATCCACAGCCTTCAGGAACTCAGGACAAACCTCGTCCACTCTTGGGGCCCTGCCACCAAGGAGTTGTTTAACTGCCTCATTGACCTCATCCCCAGAGATAGGCAAGTCGTCCCCCCTCTTCCCCAGATTCTGCTTCCTCTAGGGAAGACATGTCAGAGGGATTAAGGAGGTCCTTGAAGTATTCCTTCCACCACCTAACAATGTCCTCAGTCAAAGTCAGCAGCATTCCACCCGCAATATATACAGTGCAGGTACATCACCGCTTTCCTCTTCTGAGTCGCCTGATGGTTTGCCAGAATCACTTCAAGGCAGTGCAAAGGTGTTTTTCCATGGTCTCTCCATACTTCCCCCACACTCAAGTTTTGCTTCAGCCACTGTCCGAGCCGCGTCCCGCTTAGCCTGTTGGTACGTATCGGCTGCCTCCCAAGTCCCACAGGCTAACCAAGCCTGATAGGACTCCTTCTACGGTTCCCTTCACCTGTGGTTCCCACTATCTGGTTGGGAGTTACCACCATGACAGGCCCCAATCACCTTGCGACCGCAACTCAGTGCAGTTGAGATTGGCTGGACATGGTAAATGGTAAATGGACTGATTCTTACATACAACATGCCACAGTCACACCCACACACTTTCTCTAAACTTAGTGCTGTCTAACCACATTCACACTCCGATGGATGCATCGTAGAGCAACTTGGGGTTAGTATGTTGCCCAAGGATACTTGACATGCAGACTGGAGGAGCCAGGAATTGAACCACCAACCTTCCAATCAGTAGGTGACCTGCTCTACCTCCTGAGCTGCAGCCACCCAAAAAACATGTGAGGCATTCCCAGCACACCCTCACTATATTTTTAGGCGCACCAGGTCTACCCAGTATCTTCCACCGCCACCTTATCCACTTAAATGGTGATCAGTTGACAGCTCAGCAACTCTCTTCACCCGACTGTCCAGAACATATGGCTGCAGATCTGATGATACGATTACAAAATTGATCATTGACCTGCGGCCTAAAGTGTCCTGGTGCCATGTGCACTTATGGACACCCTTATGTTCTAACATGGTGTTCATTATGGACAAACACAGAAGCACAGAAATCCAATAACAGAACACGACTTGGGTTCAGATCTGGTTGGCCGTTCATGCCCCTCCAGGTCTTACTGTCGTTGCCCACATGAGTGTTGAAGTCTCCCAGTAGGACAACAGAGTCCCCAGGTGGAGCACCCTTAAGCACAGGCCGGGTACTCTTAACCATCTTTCAGCACATAAATGCAGACAACAGTCAGGACCCATTCCTCAACCAACCCGACAACAAACCCTCTCGTCCACTGGGAAAAAACCCCAACATACAGGCAGCAAGCCTGTATGTTGGGTGTAGGATACCCACCCCAGCCCGCTGCCTCTCACCAAGGGTAACTCCAGATTGAGACAGTCAAGCCCCTCTCCAGGAGTTTGGTTCCAGAGAGGTGATATGCCATGTCCCAGTTGCTAATTTCAATAGCTGGGGGATCAGTCAGCCAGGGTATCTGCCCCTGGCCAGTGCCCAGCACACATTGCACCCAAATCCTATGGCTCCTCCTGTGGGTGGTGGGCCTATAGGAGGGTGGTCCCATGTCCCCTTTTCAGACTGCCGAGCCAGGCCCCATGGACTAAGGCCCACTTGCCCTTGCCACCCTCCCTGGGCTTGGCTCCTGGGACACACAAACCCGTTGACCATGATATGGTAGCGATTCACAAAGTGGCTTTTAAATAGTCCCAGTTGCATCATATAATGGCATGGTAAAACACTTCATGCACTTCATTACCACAAACAGGAAATCCAAATTGGAGCTGGACATAAAGTCATTTAGAATGAAAGTTTTATTCGATATGGATCTTGGGCTGGTTAGCACCAGCTTGGCTGGAAGGGCCATGTGATGTGATAAGGGTTTTTACAACAGAGGGCTAAGGGGTCCGGGCCA